ATATGATATTAATTAACATTAATAATATTGTGAACAGACAACAATAAAAAATACATATATATATATATAAATTTATATATATATATATATATATAAATTCAAGAAACAAAAAGATGTACATGTAACATTGTAATTTTAACCGCGCGTTAATAATGCAAAAATTTAATCTTTTTAAAAAGAAAGACGTTGAAATTGGCTGTTTGAAGCAAACGTTGTGTGTATAAGTATAGTAAACAATTAATCATACTTACACAAAACAACAACTGTGTTTGCTTCAAACAGCCAATTTCAACGTCTTTCTTTTTAAAATATTTGAAGCTATTTTTTGCATCTTAACACTTATTTATCTTTTTACTTTTTTATGCCAGATGCGTACATATCGAAGGATTATCGACAAAAAAGAATAGACGAAACGTTTGATCAAAGACTAGTGTAAAAAGATCATTAGTAAGAGCTATATTTTTTTTGTGAGGGTTTTAGGACATATGTAGATGATACATCCTTTGTTTGTGAAAATCTGTGTCAAAATTCGAGAAATATCTTAGAATCACACGCATGAGCTTAAACGTTTAACATATGATTCGTCAAGACCGAGATTACAACAGCGAGAAGAATATTCGTAACGCACTGAAGAACAAAAATACCCGTACGACCTAGGAAGAATTTTTTAAAAAAGAAGAGCGTTCAAAACGCGAAAAAATGACTGGCTAGGATCAATAAATTTTTTGTATTTGTATCAATATAAAAATGGCGTTTGATAAAGAAAAAGCCAGTGTTGGTTGTTTTGCTTTCTGCAACGCTATCATACGTCTCACCAAATTTTATTAATCATTACTCATTTTTTCTTTCAGTAGCTTGTCTACACTAGTACGTAAAGTTAAATGAAACATATATTAAGTATGCAAAGCAATTCACTGGTTTTTGTCAATATAGGTTTTAATCATATAAGAGATGTACAATTACTTATCAAAATAAGAACATCACAATAATCTCCGGTATCGGTGATATAATTTTTTTATTTTCAATAGGCAGCTGTCGAATTTTATTGCGATAGAAACTTAACAGTTTTAAACCGATGAAATCATTGATAAATTGTTTTAAGGTCATCTATTATTGTTTTAAAATAAAGCGTCAATCAAGTGCAGCGACGCAAACAAGCAAGATAAAAAGAATCTCTTCTAAGAAGAGACAAGTTCTAAAGCTAAATGCCGCGGCAGAACTTTGCAACTCTTATTAATCTCTCTATGGCCGAGCGTTTTCGTACTTTTATCTCTTGTATTAATCATTTATAAATTACTTATGATTAGAAAGGGAGACATGTTCGTAATCAAAGAAGTTTCGATTTTGTCAATTGAAAATGCACGGAGTGTTTTGTACGTAAATAAATTAATTGTAATAATCAATTTTAAAACAAATTATAATTTATAACAATTATAAAAAAACTATAAAATTAAACTCAATTAAACTCGTTAAATTAAATATAATAAATTAAATCAAATAAATTATAAGAGAGAGAATTGTTGAGTAACTGTATACATATATAAATTACACTCTGTGAACATTTCTTTGTTTGTCAAAATCAAACTTTTTTGACAGAAGTTTTTCAGTTATAATGATAACTTTGAATCTCCGATGATAGTAAACCCGATACTGCTCACTTAAGTTAAGACGTTAGATTATTGACCGCGTTCGGTGGAAACTCAATTGTTGTTGTACAACCGTGTATGTCTATGTGTATCTATCGATTTTCTGCTTAAAACTGATAATGAATGCTTCAGCGAAACTTTTCACAAGGTAAAAATTATCACAAATCCACGTACACACACACACACACACACACAACGTTTGTATACTGCTGATCGTTAATTGTGTATATGATTGCATTATACACACGTACATTATAATTTCAATGGTAATGGATTTCTGCAATCAATGTTTTCTGTCATTTCTTAATACTAATAGTGTAGAATATGTTGGTATGTACGATTAGTATAGAGTTATAAAGAATGTTTGCGCGGATGTGTAATTTTTAACGCGATTATAACGCACGACAATGGAGAATTGTAATGATCGCGAGCGAATGAAGAAATTTCGAGATCGCAATCTGTAGCGCATTATTGAAAGACTTTTTTTTTTAATCAAATTCGATTTTACGGACGAGAAAATTCTGTGATAATTTGACGAATTTATCTATTTGGACTTTTAGAGGCGGAAAAATGTCCATCGAGGCCTTAGTTATATACATATTGTAGATGACTATTTGTTTTATTAATAGGTGATCATAAATTTATCATAATTGCGCTAGACATTGTAATAAAACCATACTAATACGTATAGTTGAAATATAATAATTCCTGATTTGTTACTAGTCGACTATATACTCTGATCACTTTATTTTACGAATATGAGATAATTTGCGTCACTCAGAAAAAGAGATGCCGTCTCGAAGACACGACCACGAAGACAAATGGAAGATCATCGTGCTCAGGAGAACATGTTCGTCCGAAGAACATCGATCAGAAGACTTTTAACATCAAATCTAATTACTGCTGTAATGGCTTCTTGTACGGTGTTGTGAGAATAAAATGTTTTTGTTTTTTGCTTTGACATCGTAAACTTTAAAGTTCGAAAGAACGTTGAGTTTCGAAGCATTTCTTCGAATAATTATGATTTTGTCGTGCAACATTGTTGAAAATTTCTAGAGTCAGACTTCTTCTAGTCAGACACTTTTTCTAGTCCGGACTTCTAGTCTAGTCTTCAGGCGTCATGGTGAAGAAATACGGGTTTGTTTTGCGAGAAGTCCCTATACTGTATATTTAATAATCAAACTTTTGAAACTTGGATTTCGCGTTGTCAAATTGAACATTTCGAGATCACGCATCGATTATGTACAAATATCAAGTGTTGAAGTGTAAAAAAAAAAAAAAAAAAAAACGTTTTTTGAAGAAATAATTCTTCAAGAAAGATGATCGTCACACGAATGATTATATTTTAGAACTTGACCGTCACTCCTGCCAGATTTCTTGAGTTATTTCATATCTCATTAATAAGCCAAATGTTTTTTTTAAAAAAAAAAGTCCCGATTTTGTTTTAAACAACACTTACTCTAAACTAACCACACAAACGTAGTTTTTCGTGCTTAAATAGTTCGATTCAATACGCACTACGTGAAGATAAAGAGTAAAACGTTGGAAGCGCATCGTGAAGATCGCAAGCAGATCAAATCTATCACATTTTGCAGTTGTATGTATTAATGTTTCTCTCAATTGAATTATGCTTTCAGAAAGATCGTTTCCGTGTTCGCATTGTGGCAAAATCTACTTGTACAAGAGCACCAGAACTCGTCATCTAAACTACGAATGCCACAAGGATGCGCAGTTCAAATGTTCGTTGTGCGAGCACGCAGCTAAACAGAAAGGCAACTTGAAGCGACACATGCGAACAGTACATAAGTATAATGTTATCCCGTGGGATTTGACGACCGCCGCGAAAAAACAGAAGAAGCCTCGGAACAATTACATTCGATATCAATGACTCAGCATATAGGTCATACGATGCCTCGCCCGTCAGACGTCGGTCTCGAATGTGTTAAATAATCTTGTATTTTGAAATAAAAGTGTATATTCTTTTTTTGTATAAGCCGGACTTCTCCCGGTTACAGTTAGTGATCGTGACATCTTACGTAACACAACATTCGGCGCAGATCCTCCGGCGACAACGCAATTCGAGACGATTTTACGATTCTCTCGGTGTTCTACGTCTGGATGTCGTTTTTTATACATCAGCTTATTGTTTGTTGTGATTGGTTGATTACGAACACGCGACATCTGGTTCTCGAAAAGTGCAACGCCGATTGTTGCATCTTTTCGGCTGCCTGTGCAATTCTTGCCCAGTGTTTCTATCGTATAGCGGCTCGCAACTCGCTGACTAGACACTCGCACTGAATTTTTCAGTTTAACAGTGCACTTAATAAAATTTGCTAAAATACATTTGACTCAAAAATCTCTATAATTATAACTAACAACATGATACATCAAACACCTATAAATATGAATTAAACACATCAAAATAATATTTACGATATAACAGTAATTAATAGTTCAATCATCGTTTCGAGCTGTGGCAGCTATGCGAATAAAATTATCTTAATTATTAAGATAGATAAATCGTCATTGTTTCTGAAACATTTATATACAAAATTATGTCTTATTTATTGCGCGTTTAAGAGAACAAAAAACTTATGGTTCTGTGAAATAAATCTTTAAGGGAAAAAAGTCAGACCCGCGCTCAGCAAAACAAAAAACAAACGAATTAAATTGATGGCGTAAAATTAAAACAAAAGAGCAAAAATGTTGCTAAATACAAAATAAGAAAAAAATCTCAAGTATATTTAATTTTTTATTGGAATTTAGTTTTTTTATTTTTTATTATATCTATGTTATGACTTATTTTTGCGCTCATCAATTTAATTACGTTGTCGCTTTATTGAGGAGGATCTAAAAAGTGGTTAACAAAGTTTGTATAGTACACAATGGTTATTATTGTTCAGAATTTTTCCCTTTTAATTTTTGCTTGCTTAATTATTGTTTTCAATTTGTTGAATAATGAAGTAATGTTTGTAGCATTTCTTTTTTACAATTGTTCAAAATTCATCAAATAAAATTTGTTTTACACATATCTCTGTTTTACATATATTTAAAATCACAGTTGGTTCTTTTTTAAATTTTTCAAATGTAAAACATTTATCAGTTTTATGAAAATATGTTTCTTATTTATGTGTGTTTTCAGATTTCTTTTTTTTTTACGATTCTTTTTTAAGATTGTTGAATGTGTATATTGTAATTGATGTTGTTTTATGTCTTAAACAAGTGGTTACAATACGTATGCGAATTTTATGTATATATTAACTACTAAAAAAATCAATGTATATTTTTGTTCATCAATAATGAGCTAATTGCGTTAGATCTTAGGTCTCTTAGTCTTTTTTTTTATTCAAGAATTAATAATGGTTATTTTTTGTGTGTTACTTACGATTATTGTAAATTTAAATACCGCGCGTTAACTGTTGCAAAAATTTTATCTTCAAACAAATGAAAAGTTACTCTTGCTTTTATAACTACGTGGTTCTTTCTCTTTCAAGCATGATACATACAAAACGAAAAAAAACTGCTTTTCCTATTTCTTCAAGTATTGAAGAAAATATGAGATATTTATTTTTTTCACTAATGAATATTTAGTTCATTTGCTTGTTTAGAGGCAATTGCGCGTTGTGTAATAAGTTTTGAAATATTAAACATTTCTTATGTATTATTATCAAAACTGTCACTGATTCTTATAGAGAAAGAACACAGATACATAGCAATATTTCATAATAGTGTAATAAAGTTACATTAATTAATAGTGAATACTTATTATTATAAGTAATATCATAATGTAATCATAGCAAAATATTAATAATAACAAAACAGTAATTTTTCGCACTACTGTAAACCGTGTAGTTGCATACAGAAATCATTTGTATGAATGTCGACGCATATCATCAACAACGTACGTTCACTTTATAATTTAGTCTATAGCGCACAAGTGTTAGAACATTCAATTTTTTTATTTTAAAATGAAATTTTGTGCAACTTTGAAGTTTCTCGAAGCAAAGTGAGAGAGTGTTATCTAAAGATATATGTGTGGACTGCTACTGCTATACACATAATTATTACTGAGCTTATATCGTTCTTGCTGCTTATATATGTATATATACTGTTGTTTTTGTACAAAGAAAGATAATGAAATAAAAGACTTGTTATTTCTACTTTATCAATATGTAATGTGCACTGATGTACCTGTATAATTTAATGACTTCAGACCGCACACAATTACAAATCCTTTCTTTCTTGTCACAAAATCATGGGTGACAATTATATTTGTTATTGTAAAGCATAGTTGTTGCAAATAACGAGGAATTATCTATTCGTCTTTAATAAACTTAATGTTCATTCTGTAATTGTAAACTTCCTGTAGCTTGTCTCTTTTTTTTTGATAAATATTTTATCTTTGCTATACAAAATTGCTATCACACAAATTATCATAATTGCTGTTAAATCAGTCGGTGTAACTGCAGAAGATAATCAAATATACTCTAGTATAGAAACTGAGTAAGAAAAAACACACACATTTAAAAAAACTGGAAAATGCTATAATATGAATTTTAAAGAGTGGTAAGAGTGTTTTTTATTCAATCTTTACAATATTTGGAAAATTATTTTATTTTTTTAAATGTTTCTCTCTTGCAAAAATTTATTAAAGTGTTTGTGAACAGAGATATCTAGAAAATTCCGCATCAGAAAGGCAATTTGAACTGCAATAATGAACTGATTCTCAGGGTAATCGATGGCAAATGCAAAAACTGCAACAAGAGCGCGGATACAACGCATCGGAATATTCAAACAACGAAATCTACTTTTGATATACAGAGAACTGTTTGCTCAAAATCCCTCCCAGAGTTCCATTCCATAAAAAAATATAAAAATATCGTAATATGATAAAAACACACATGACTTTTCTATATTAATGCTACATATATAAGACATTAAGTGCATGAAGAGTCTAATGTAAAATGTGTGATGAGATTTTTCAGAAACACTTATATAAGTCGATTTTTAGTCATTGCTTCTGACAGTAAAAAAAAACAAGTAATAAAAACAAAACAAAATAATACAATTTAACAAAAACAAATCACAAGTAAGACGTGGTAAGATACAATAAAATGTAAACACAAATAAGAGTCGAGATTGATTTTCGGGTTTAATGTTTTTTTCTTTTTGTTTTTGTTTTAATGATGTACAGGGCTAAACGCACTGATCTCTACAAGCGATCGCTGCAATGATTTTTTTTAGTCGATTTTACGCACTGATCTATTCAAAATTTCCGGTAATTAAATTACATACACATCTTGCGAATGCAAGTTGATTGCAACAGTAAAAAAACACGTCACGATGCAAAATCTCACGATCTCACTATCGGCCTTTCTGCCGCCTGTTTCAGAATTGAAGAGAGAATACTGCCGCGTCAACTACGATCGGCCGTTCACGTGTCTCAAGTGCGGCAAGCGTTACACATGGACGGACTCTCTGACGAGGCATCTGCGCGAGGGCTGCGGCATGCTGCCGAAGCACATTTGCAGAATTTGCGGCAGGAAATTCAGGCGCAAGGATTATCTCTTGCGCCACGAGAACAACGTTCACAAATAAAAGGACTAGCCGCCTCTCTCCTTCTGGAATTCGTCAATGCGTCATCGGGAAAAAGAACCAAGTTCGTTTCGCGAGGATGCGATTAATACCTCAAAACGAAATAAGAATTGTCCCACCGTGTATATTATTAATATTGCATTCGGGTAGAGTCGAGTACAAGCGCGTAAATAAATAATTGCTCATAAAATCGGCGATAAAAGAAAAACTGACTGATTTTTGCAACTGAATAGAAAGACGATAAGTAATTAATTTATATTAATATTAGGAAGAGGAGAAGAGTAGAGACAGATTTTTTTTTGCATACGTCGTATTATTCACAATTGTAAACAAACGTTTTCAACGACTATCTCGAACTATTTTTTTACGTCATATATTTGTATATTTTCTAACTATATTCTATCTTTAGTGAAACTAAACATATATAAGAAGTATTGTCGGAGAGTTCACATAACGACATTTGTTTCAATAAGATAAATGCCGAAAGAATATATCGCGCGTTTAAAAGATACTCATAGATTTCAAGATCATATACAAATATATATAGCTCAAGACAGTGTTTGTTACGTACGTCTTTTTCTTGAAAAGTTTTTGCCATCGTTGTAAAACAAATGTCAGATGATTTTGCATTATTAGCAATTTCTTTGCTCTCACAAAAGCATTTATCTTATTGAACATATACATACTTTTTCTACTAGCAGTTTTGCGAACTCACGGAAGAAAGCTATTTCTTCTTACTGACTTTTGAATCTTATGAATATATTTTATATATTTATTTTTTCAATTCAAAGCATATTTTCTATACATTTGTATATCATTTTTCACTTCCACGAATAACAAGACAATCCTACACGCAACTAGGATAAGAAAACAACGGAATTTCGATATGAAAAACAACGGTTTAGATAGTTTTGTATTAAACGTGCAATATATTACTTTTTTTTTTACGAACATCTCGAATATGTCACAAGTGGCAAATCGCAAGCTAGCGAATGTAACTGTAGCTTCTTGTCTGCGTATGATGTATAGAATTATTATAAACGTCCGTGTCGTGTGTCTCGTCTAATTATGCTTTTTCGTACCTGTGTATATATATACATATAACTCTCATTAAGTTTTTTATTAAACAAAAACCTGAAAGCGTGCATTGTCGTAAGAAAACCCTAGCGAATGTTATTCTTAAATATTCTACACATTACAACGTAAGAACGAGATAGGAATCGTAAATTTTAGTTGCTAAATAGATTGATACCTTTGTAAGAAAACAATTCGAGAGAAAGTAATGTAACGTGTGTGTGAAGTGAAAGAATTATTGTTGTATGCGATTGACAACTGAAAACCTAATAAATAAGCAATATATTGTATTACAGACCGTAATTGTACGTGAACGCGTTTATTTTATGATAACGATTTACTCTTGCGGTTATAAAAACGAGTCAACGATAATTAATTATTATACAAAGATTGCGAAGAGAGAAACAACAGAACGATTTTTGAATGGAAAGTGAAGACTCAACGTTACAATATGTAGAGAATACAACATTGCTGGTATGTTTTTTTTCGGCGATCTTCACTTTCTGTTGACAATATCGTTGTGTTTTCTTATTATTTATGCGTAGCGCATATTATTTTATCGTATATTTACGAGTAGATCGAAGTATTTGTGAGACACAAATTTTGTTTATGGAACAAGTGAATCAGAAACTGTAAAAACAAATCTGATATAATAATAATATGCATTCATATATTTGTTGTTTTTTTAATTTTCTTATGATCACGAAAATCCTACATAGATATAAGAAACTAAGATATAAAAAAAAAAGATTTAAAAAAAAATTGGTGTGTAACATATTACAAAAATTTAATAATAAAACTCTCAATCTCCAGCAATCGCGCACAGTAAGCGATAAACAGTTAGAAAATAATCAAAGACGCCATTCCGTGTGTGATACTCTTTTTACTTCGCGTGAACGAAATTTGTAATTTACTAACATGTCTGTTGTTTTTTCCAGGTTTATTGCTGTTGAAGGCGTCTGACAACGATAAGAGAATAGGCAAACACTTTTGCTCGACCTGCGGAAAGCAATATAAATGGATGCAATCGTTGATCAGACACTCGCGAGAAGAATGCGGAAAGGATCCGCAGCACACTTGTCCCATATGCGGCACGAGAATACGACACAGATGGATGGTCAAGAAGCACATCGAAGCGCATCACTCGAACGGCAATTACATCGACTACAATCGGCAACGATCAAAGAATAAATCCGTGCACTAATGTCAATAAAAAAGTTTTCTATTGCGTGTATTTTTTTAAGGCGTTTATGTCTTTACACATAAAGTTACAGTTTTAAGACATTATTCAGGCATTATTAGTTTAACTTTTCATGCGTCGCATCTCTGTCTGTATTTGGACTTTTTATATTTAATATTCCCGAGTGAAAACATTACATCTTTGTATGTAAAAGAATCATTTTAATGAATATTTAGTGTTAATATAATTGCGCTTTTTAATGATTACACATAGGTGTTTGTTTTACACGCATGCAATTTGCAACGACACGCGAACGTAAGTTGCAATTTGTTCTTTATCGAAATTAGATTTGTAATACGTAACTACGCTTGTTAATTTATTATCATCAGTTTTTATCGTTATTATTATTAATTTATATTTATTAATCTCGCTCTCGTTGAGGAACAAAAGCCTCAGTGATGACTCGAATCTTGCCATATTAGTCGTCTCAGTAATTCGGAGTTCACGTCTTCAACAATTAAATTTGCGCAAAGACAAAATACAATTAGACAAAGACAGTGTAAGAAATTTGTAACCCTGGAAGGGTGGAATCAACAAACATATCTAATACTAGTCTCCTTTGTTCTCGCAAACACAATTGTACAATATAATGTGAAAAATAAAAGAACAGATCATAATGTATGATATCTTCTTCGTAAAGAAAGTAATTTCGACAAAATCTCTTTTGATTTATTTACAATTAACAGCAAGATTATCTTGAAATTACAAAACTCTGGTCCCGTCTCAAAAATCCAAATCCGTTATATTCTCACATTTACGCTATTGACTTTTAAGTTGATAGAAAATGTAAATCCTGCAATAAGATTCGGGAAGAGAAATGTGTGTGGAATGAGATCTTCTAAAGATGTTTTTTCGTTTGTTGTATTTTTCAAACACGTTTGAAAACAAGCATGTGCTAACGAGGCAATTTCTTTTCAGATCGCAACAAGTTCAATAGGGTAACAGAATCCTATCCGCCGCGTCCCAAATTCATCTGCAATGCGTGCGGCAAGGTGTACAAGTGGAAGAACTCTCTGACGAGACACGAAACTATGCAGTGCAAACAGCGACAATTTGTTTGCGTTCTTTGCGGCGCGAGATTTAAACAAAAGCAATATTTCGACGATCATATAATGCTGTTTCACAATTCTAATCTCGCACCTACTTCTTGAAACAGTAAAAAAAAGAAACTAAAAAACTGTTCACACTAAGTTTTCGACTAATATCATTTGACGTACATTTAAGAAATTATATTGACAATGCGATATATATTGCGATCTATTACTGATGTATTTGAATTTTACTATTTTATAAAATTAAACTAGCTCAAATTGTTAAAATTTTGATTGAATTTTGTACGTCACGAAAAGTAAAAGTTCAAATATATTCTTAATTTTAATCGCAACTTACATGTATTTGCGCTGTGTTTTAATTTTTCATCCTATACTCTATCACTTATTCTGATTTAATAAAGTCTGTAATTATAAGATAAGAAGATTGAAAATCAGAGAGAGAAAAAAAGAGAAATAAAGATATAAGAAATATTTTGTTTTTACCGAATGAGAGTGGAGGTCACAAAAAAAGCGCATGTGATTTTTGCGAAATTGTCAATTTTTCTAGCATGGTGAAAATTGAAGTCATTCGTTAATCATCAAGATGTAATGAGATCACGTCGTTACCTGTTTCAGACCGAACATTGAAGCCGTACCATGTACCAAAACCCTACGCTATAATAACACGTGTGACATCTCTGTCACTACCGCCTTATCAGTGTAACACGTGCGGCAAGTCGTACAAATGGAAGGAATCCTTGAGTTTGCACAAACGAATGGAGTGTGGAATCGAGCCACGCTTCACCTGCGTCTGCTGCGGTAAAAAATTCAAACACAAGCATCACCTCAAACAACACCAAATGGCGATTCACAAAACTATCCCGTAACCAACGAAAAATGTGGTAGTGCGAAAAAATAGTATTATTTATGGATTAGAAACGATGGTTCTTTACTATAGCATTACAACATATTGTGTCAAATAAGATAAACTATATAAAATGTATTGTTACCGAATACAATTTGATTAAATGTAATACCTTAACTAATAATGTGTTTTATAAAGATCGTTCTTTTATTAATAAAAGTACATGGCAAGCATAAAAGAGAGAGTGTTTTTATGCGTTCGAGAAAAGACACATGGAGTTCTTAACTCAGACAAGCATGTTACACATTTATAATTGCGGTTACAAAATATATTAATTATTCCACATCGATTGCAAAAGAAGTGATACTCTTTTTCTCTCACTCTTACTCTCTCTGTGTGTGTGTGTGTGTGTGTGTCTAGAAAAAAAGAATGTCTATTACGTTTTATCACTTATGTCCTACTTTTCTGATTCGCTTAATTTTATCGCTGCAGAAAACACATATTTTTAGATTCTCTGGAGAAGTGAGTTTTTATGAATTGTTTCTTGTTTGTTGACAAGTTGACAAACACCTCAAAACAGAATGTTATATGTTGTCGAATCTGGTATTGTCAGATATTTATGTCGAATTTGTTGTCTTTGTCTCCATTGTCAAATAAAAAAAATATACACGCAGAACTTTGTGTGTATGAATGTGAGTGTGTACAGGAAAATAAAAACGCGCGTCTTTTATCAAAGTTTTTATCAAAGACGCGCGTTTTTATTTTCCTGTACACACTCACATTCATACACACAGAGTTCTGCGTGTATATTTTTTTTATTTGACAATAAAAGAAAAAATACACAGTTCGAGATGAACGCATACACTGCATTCATACTTTTGTTTTTTCAGATAACGAAGTTTGGCCGCAGAGTCTACGGAATCAGTGCAAGGTTTGCGGCAAATTCTACACGCGAAAATCGTCGCTGTACACTCATCAACGTGTGTGCGGCAAAGAGCCCAGGTTCGTGTGCGGGTTTTGCGACAAGAAATTTAAATACAAACATAGACTGCAGTCGCATCTCAGTTCGAGCGTGTGCACGCGACGCGAGAGAGTGAGAAGAGATTGAGAGATTTGACGTAATAAAAATCGATCAAATTGATTGATTTTTAATTAAACATTTTTTTTATTTTATTGTTTAAATTATCTCCCCATCAGATCAATGAAGATATTTTTATGTTGTGTATCAGATCAAACATGTAAACCCATAATAATAAAGATTCAGTGATATTTTACTAGCAAAGTTGTGTCTCCTTGTTGAATCCCACGCATACGCGACTCTCATGACACGCGACTGTTTGAGAGATTTGAAACTCTCGTTATGTTTTTTTTTTTTTTTGTTAAAAATCACAAATCTTGTAAAATAACATCTGCTGATTGTTTGGGACAGTGGAAAACGTACGAATCGCACAACAACACACGAGCTTTTTTAGCGATAATCTAATTAGAAAGAGACGTACGTAAAGTGCGCGTAACTTTCACGATTTTAAAGCGCTTTTATTCCGTAGACGGCGTGTGTCTCTGTTTTATAAACACGACATGACTTTATAACACATGGTCGTTAATGTCCCCCGTGATGTAAAATCCCGTAACGTTTGTAACGTCGCAAGACGAACATTGCGCCTCTTAAAGAGTTGATGGCATGGAAGATGCGCGGGTGGCGAGTTCGGTTTCTTCAATCGCTAAAAAGACCTCTTTTTTTATTTTCAGCTCTTCCACGATGGGTCTGCTTCCAGTGCGGTAAGCGTTATCTGTGGCGCGGTTCCCTGAAGAACCACATACGGGTGGAATGCGGCAAAGACCCGACTTACACGTGTCCGGTGTGCGGCAGGCAGTTCAAGCACAAACACCGCTGGCAATCGCACGCGAGATGCATGCACAGCATCCTGTTGTAATAATAATAACGTGACGCGCGATGTCGATCTCCGATTGCTCTTCTGTACATATGTAGATTTTTTTTTAGAAAAGAGCATCTTACGTGAGAGAGCGTCGTTCGAATGCTTCTTCTATCGTCGCCGTATGTATAACAATACATATGTACGTTGAAATGTGTGAAATGAAGTTTCGAAATAAAAGTTTATTTTCATCATTTATTATCGAAGTTTTTCAGTAGATCGCTTTTATTGTTTCCTTTTCTCACGCAAACAAATTTTTGTGATTATTGCAGTGATGTTGACCAATCCTTGAGGAAACTTTTTCGGAATATATATAGCTCTTAGGAGAAATAACTTTTGCACTCTTATATTCATTCTATGCGGAAATGATTTGTTGTTATCGCATCTGTTATCTTAGTATTATCCTTAGTGTATCGTTTCAAATTGTTTCTCTTGATATCAGTCTCACGATAGATATAAAATCTGTGACAGAATTTTGTACTGAATTTTGCTATTAATGTGTTTCCGAAACTGTGCGTTAGTATGTAATAAAAAAAATGCTCACGTTAAAAACTCACGGCGACAGTCGAAACAACTGGATCAAAATGATCTGGCGATTTGTTGAGCGAAGGGTAATTCGGTGAGACACTTGTCTGAAAAAATCATGTGCGAAAAAGTATATTTATTATTAATTTGCCAATTCGTTCAAATTAAGTTCCTCGAACATTAAATATTACGATTAAATGTTAAATCGAAGTATAAGTTATATTGCTGCGATACATATATTATGCATATATATGTATATGCGCTTTTAATGTCGTCACCGAGAAAATCGCGAATCGAACGAACGATTTAACGACCAGCGGTCTCTTTTTTCAGCGCCAAACCTGAGGTCCTGGTTTTGTTACCAATGCGGCAAGCGATACAAATGGCGGGATTCGTGGAAGAAGCATCTGCGGGTCGAATGCGGGAAGGATCCCACGTTTGAGTGTCCAATCTGTGGCAGGAAGTTCAAACATAAGCATCGGTTGCAATCGCACACCAAAAGAATTCATTATATTAACATATGACTCATTTGATGAGTTGACGTAAAAACAGACTTTTGATCGAACATACAGACCACGAAGTGATCAATAACACACGCAAAGAGCAACGATCTCTTGACGTTTTGTCATTTTATTTACATTTAATCTTATTTTATTTTATACACGTATACAATTTTATATACATATACAACATACATACTTCTTGTCGTTGAGATTTTTTAAATAAATTGTTAATATAGATATATTGTTTACTTCAGTTAATATAGATATATTGTTTACTTTGAAATGTTGTTGCAATTGCCTTTTTGAAATTGTTTATACAATTGAGCTTAGAAATTATGAAAGCGCGTTTACAAATGACGTATATATATATATATATATATACAAAACAAAAATATAAATAAATTATTACAAAACTATTTTTCAAGCACTTTTGTCTTACACCTTATTGCAATGCATCTTATTAATTAAAAGATTTTTACCCATATGAAATATTTTGTGTTCTTATACTTACTTGTACGAAAAAGAGAAATAAATATATAAATTTTCTCAATACGCTTCTCACTAGCCGATAATTGCGCCAAGAGTTTTTTACATCGAGCAAGCTTTCTTCAAGAGACTTTACTAATTAGAAATTACTGTCTTTTATATTCAATTTATATTTGATCGAAGAATTGTGGAAATTTATAATTAAAATTTCAGAATCTTGTATCTTTCTTCGAAAAATGGAGTCTTCCTCAAAAATATATCCTACAAAATTCCCGTTACACATGAAACCATTGAAAAGAAATCGCAGTTTAACTCCTTCCGCTCACACGTTTTTCTGACCAAACACTCGTTTCGTTCATTTTCCGTCTCGGGGAACGTGTGTGTGATGTAAATAAAGCGAAGTTTAATCTCAAGTAAAATTAACCGCATCGTCTAACCACGTTGCTCTCTCGTTGCAGGTTTACTGGCGTCTCTGCTGCTCACGCAGGACAACAACGACTTGTCCTGGAACCAACAGCAATTCGACGAGTCTTCGACATACAAAATGCCCAGTGTTTCTCGGAAAAAGAACACAGGCGGCGGTGACATAAGGATGTACGGATGCAACAGATGCGGAAAATCTTACAAAGCCGCGACGTCGTTGAGCCGTCACAAACGGCTCGAGTGCGGTGTCGTGCCCTGCGAGGTGTGCCCCATCTGCAGTCGCAGATTCAAGCACAAGTTCGTCTTGAACGCTCACATCGGTGCCTGCGAGAGAAGAATGAATCAGACGATACACAAGAAAGTTTACGATTAAAAAAACACGCTAGAAAAAACACGTTTTCCTTTTCAACGAAAAGAATAATGATTTTCTATACAGATTTTGTTGCGTTGTTAAATCTGATCTCGGAATTTTGCTATCACGTCAGAATTTAAAGAGATATGTAATGAGATAAAAAGAAAATGACTATCTTCAAATCCGGATGTGAAAACGAAATTCCTTGATCAGTATCGAATTCAATACATTAAAATCTATAGGAAATCTGTCTTTCGTTCGTTGAGAGAACAAAGTCAAAAAATATTAGATTTGTCCTCCACGGTAAACTGATGATGATCAGTCGCGACAAAAATGCGACGACAATGATTTTAAGTTTTTCGATCGAGACAGTTGCTTTTTCAAAAGGAATTTTGTAAAAGCGCTTGATCTGTAAAAACCAGTTATTTCAATCAATACCGGAATCACACGCATACAATAAGCGTAGATAATTACAATGTGATCTGTTGATATCTATTTTATCTTCACGTAGAAAATTATAATATTTTTAAGAGAGATTTATAGATTCGCCTTTCGTTTTTAAACGGAATAAAAATAGCAAAAAAATGCTTTTACGATGTAATGTCAACATTTTCATTTTTACACGCAAAAATGTTCTTATTTAAATGTTTTTTTATTTCATATTTATAAATCGTCAAAAGATTGATGCATATAATTTCACATATCATTAATATCTTTCGCTCGCGCAATATTTATTTCAATTTTTTTTTTTTTTTCATGTTCAATCACATTATTTTGCAGCCACATAAAAACATATGATTGAATATGTGTATATACGTAGCGAGGATAATATTATTATTCTTAAAAGTCACACAAAGAATATTATTGTGACAAAAGTATTATGTGTATGCTTCCTATATTAAGTATATTGACAAATAACCGATATGTTTTGTCCGTTTTTTTTTTTCTAATATACAATGTCTAGCAAAGTTTTTTTTTATTAGACTCGACTTCCATGTGACGTATAACATATTTATTTATTATATGTATTCTGAGAATATAAAATCGTTAAAATTGTTAAAATTAAAATATTCGTTATGTTTCCTGATTCATTTTCTTACTAGATTGATGCAAATGTAATCTCGCGAGTTAAATATAAAAACTCGTAAAGACATATATATATTAATATTTGTTAAAAGATATACACATAAATATATGTATAGAGAAATGTTGAATGTAGCGAATGAAGGCCATATGTATAAAACTATTATTTTTGTTTGAGTTATATTAAGTGTTAATTTTTCGTTTTTTTTGCGATGCAAAACAATTGTCATTTCAAACTTGTCGCGCATCTCTTTTATACTGAACGTAAGTTCGTTTTCAGTATGATTTATATTCATAATAAGATTTAATCAAATTCTGGAAATAACAGTACTTTTTATGATCTCCTTTTTATCTTTTATTCTACATATTTTTGAGGCTATTTTTTATTCTCTCTGTTACAATTTAGAATACAAAAACTAAGATAGAAGTAGGATAAAAATAATTTTGTATTAGTTGACAATTTAGCAATAGGTAGTTTTTTAAATATATTCGAACTTGTTTTTCTAACAAAAAATTGACTATTTAATAACGATTGATTATAATCTTACGTGTATATAAATTTATATATTGTATAACATATAGTCTAATATTATGTAGTAAGACAAATAAGAAATATAAACTGTATATACATGTATATTTAAACATGTATATACTATATATATACATACATACTCTATATGTGGTATGTGTATATATTATTGTACATGTATTATATACACGTATATATACATACTTTTAGTAACTTTTTTTTAAGTATTAGAATGACTTCCAAATAATATTTTGCTGTGAGTTTGGTAAATTTATTATCGTAAATTCAAATTTTATAAACAATTTACAAAGAATATTTTGAGATACTTTAAATTATTATTATAAAAACTCTAGTGTGCACAAGAATTTGAAGTCGACATTTGAGACATTTGCTTTATACGATGCTATTATGTATGTACATATTGTAAGCATTTACAAAAAGCTTTAGTTCTTATATAAATAGAACCATTTTGTTTGTAAAAGAAATTTCTATAATAAATAATTTTTATATACTCTTTTTGATGAATTGTGATTCGTTTGGGCCATTATTTCTTAAGCATTTAAAAAAAAGAACGTTTGTTATAAGAAAGTTTATTAAAAAGTTTCAAATTTCACATGTGACAACGGCTTTTCAGTATTGTACTTGTATCTTAACATTTCGTTGCTGTGCGTGACATAGTATTGTTTTTTTAAGTGTAACTTTTATTAAATTAAAAGGTTCACTCATTAAATAAAAGAGTATTAAAATTTTGTTTTTCAAATTTAGAAAATTTGTCACGTAATTGTTTTCGTTTCAAAATAATATAATTTGCAGCGTTAAGCCATATATTTTCTGCCAAGATATTTGATACAGCTTTTTCTGCTCACTGCTCGTTTTATGTCGACAGGACTTGACATGAGCAAACCGTGGCGCATGTATTGCGACGACTTTCTTGACACGTCGGTGGAGGACTACTTTGAAGCAATGAACGATCCAAATAAACGTCAGATCTTCATGTGCTCTTTATGCGGCAATACGTACGCGTGGAGCAGCAGTTTGCGTCGCCATCAATTGCAGTGCGGTAACAAAGAGGCGAAGATCAAGTGTGGATTTTGCTCGAAAAGATTTTACAGACGGGACAGACTTAAAGAACACTTATATGTGCACCATTCGAACTTGAATTCTGAATGTGAAGCTTGCAAGCATCATAACGATGTTGGTCCGTGTAACGAGAAAAAATAAACTTCAAGTTCAAATTTTTTGACAAATATTTGACGTGTGCGCGATTCAAATATTTATTAATGCGTACAATTTTTGCAGTCCTTGTACAAATTTATTTTGCTTCAAATATATTGTTTAATCAACATTATATAGTAATATAGTACAGCGTAGTAAGTGAAGTTTCACATAAGATACTTAATAATTGTGATTAAACATATTTATGTGTACTTGATACTTTTCCAAAATGTTCTTTTTTTTAATATTTATATATTTGCCGTCTTGTTATGGTTAGCCACATCAATGGCATTAATAATACGTGTAATGATTACAAGTTTTGAATGTCGAACGTAAATTATAAATTCAAAATGCATTCTTCTTTCTGCGCGCGCTTTAATGTATTTCTACTTCAAGTTCAACAAATATTGAAACGTAAAAAAACAAACGCACATATACAAAATGCACAAAGAAAATAACATATAAAATTATTGAAAAAAAAAGAGAAGGAACGATATATGAAACTTGTAATTTTCTAGCTTTATTTTATTATTGACTCTGTCACGTATCTTGTCGACGCGAAGCCAAAAATTGTATTTTTACCAAAGATAAATTTGAGAGATTGTAATAAAAAAGTTACCATATTTTTATGTTTAAATGTCTGTGCAACACGCCCGCTTCATCGCGTTGTTACAACGTAATTACACAATCTCCACAATTTATCATGTAATTTTTGATATAAAATTACAAGACACTTAAAAGAGAATAAAACCCGTAGAGAGACTGTCTTTGTCAGTGTTTCACATTTGGTTGTGTTTCGTATTGATTAGCATGAAACTTGTAATCAACACTTTGTTACTTTTTATCGAGAAATATCAATAAAATATCAAACTGCTGCAATTAATAAATTCACAATAGGGAAGTAGTAACTGACGAATCGTTAATTAATTATATGCGATCGGGATGCGCGTTTTTGCTCGGTTTTATCGATCGAAAATGTTCATCGAATAAGATTGTCTACTTTAACACACATAGTTTCTATCGCTAGATTTTGTGATACCGTCAGTCTCCCACTGGAAATGACAGAATACATTCTACGTTACAGACAACTCCTTTCTTATGGACGACTTTAGCGGGGAGGACTTGAACACCAACGAATTCGACTTTGCCAGTGTGCCACTTCTACAGGGTCGTCATGTGCCATTGCAAGAACAACGTTACATGTGCGGCGAATGCGGCAAAGGATACAAGTGGATGGACAATTTGCGACGTCACCAGAGACTCGAGTGCGGGCAGCTGCCCAAATTGAGCTGCAGTATATGTTCGAAGAAGTTCTATCGCCGATACGAACTAACGAAACATATGAGAATGAAACATCATCTAGAGTAATCAGTTCGCATCGATTGTTTTTTTTTTTTTTGTTTTTTTTTTATCCTATGTACAATTTCTCTTGTTGTATCTGCACGAGTTTTTCTGTACGAGATCGTAAAATATTAACGTATAATGTATATGTATAATATATATAGATATACATACCGAAATAAATACCGAACTAATGCAAAGAGCATTTTGTGAAATATGTATTTCAATGAAGATCAATCATCCCGTGATTATTTATTTCACTCATTTCTTTTTTCTTATTGTTCAAAATTATGTGTTTTATGTTATTGTATTATAGAATGAGAGAAAGAAGAGAGATAGAGAGTGAGAGAGAGAGAGAGAAGAGAGAGTATGTAAAATTATACATTAACACACAAAAGTGCACAATGTCAAAATCACTTTGGAAACTACCAAAGAACATCGCAATAATTGGGCTTACTGATATTTTGTTCTTTTCTAATTTTTTATGTTCAAACATACGTAACATCATCACATTAGTCACTGATTCTTTTTGTTTTTGTTTGTAATTCACATGCTAATTATTTTTTTTTTTACTCTGTGTGTATCTCATACTTCGTTGACAATTAGAATGTTCGCACACGTAATCAGTCTCTTAAAAGTTGCATGCGCTTGCAAAGATCTTTTCCCCCACCGTTGTTTTGTCCTCCATTTGGTTTCGCAATTAACAAAACGTTTTGCATGTTCATTTGTTTCTTTTACAGAAGACGTGAAATTTAGCGGTTGGTTCAACGAGGGCCAATTAGAGTTCGACGAGAACATCTCGCAGAGTTGCTACGAATTCGTAACCACCGATTATCACGACCTATCCCCGGAATCCTTGGAACACCGTAAGAAAAAGCAGATCGCCACATGCGTATGCACGGAATGCGGCAAGAGTTTCTCGAGATCCGACAGCCTCAAAAGACACGAGAAGCTGTACTGCAAAGTGAAAGTCAAGTATTGATGTTGCTATGATTGTGAGACAAGATTTCGATGCTGAACTGAATATGTTTTTTGCATACTTATATATATATATATATAAAATATTTATGTAAAAGATAAAAACACATAGAAAAGAAGCGCGATAGATTCTATGAAATGTTCGAAACTAATTATCAATTTATTTCAGTTTTAATTGTTAAAAACCTGTGCAAAATTTTGTCGGAGATTGTTTTTGAGTATTTTTATTGAAAACTGTATTAAACACTAAAAACTATAATCTCTACTATTTTAGTCATTTTTGTTGGAACAACATCACAAAAAACGCGCGAATTTCATTAAAGTATCTTTTGCCATCTATTACATGTATTATATATTAGGAGATCATTATTATATATAATTGATTAATTTGTGTAATAAGACAAAAAAAAACATTAATATTTGTTGATTAAGTTTTGTTCACTGTGTACAGTAGAAGCTCCATATTCGCGCATTTTACCATCATGTTTGTAATTTAATATTTTATTACATCGATAGATTTGAAACACACTTGTACATATCTTTATCATGTTTGCGATTTATGTCAGATAACAGATTTTACAAATGCAATTTTCGCATATTATAGTATTACGTTTCGAAAAACGTGATTTTCGCTAATATGGCGCTTTTATTATGTTCCACACGAGATTTGTACGTCTAAACTAATTTGTGATGATTAATTTGACCTATACATTTGTTTTCATATATATATATATACATAACTAATATATATATAACTAGTATAATGTTATATATATATGTATATATATATA